TATTTGCTTTGTATAAAATCTTGTTTTAATACATACTTTCGATACTGTACTTCTTTCAATTTCAGCTTTAAGATAAGGTCATACGATGACAACTTATTAGGAATAAATCAAAACTACAAGTAAATAATTATTTTTTTTTGTTTATCACTGAAATACGAAGAAAACTATAATAGATGCGTAATAGAGAAGGAAAATGTCAATTGTCATCGAGATGTTTGTCCCACATAATAGCTTTTTTTTTCGATTAATGATAAAGTCCTTGGTCATAAGTGAAATGTCACTGTTTGTAAAATTCAACAAAATTAGTCAACAGTTAGGAAGAAAAATTTCCTAGACACACTAGAAAAATGAAAGAATGTTTCCTTGTCGAACAACATGGTTTATACATATCTATCAATATTTTTGTTTTGATGATCATCAATTCAATATACCATTAAAACATGAGAATAAAAAGAAGCTTTTATGCTTTCCTAATCAATAATCGAAAATAGAAAAAATTCATCTATCAAAACTATTAATCATACTTGAGAAAGTTCGAACAAGATGATTCGTACTTTAATAACTCTAAGGTTACAATGGAATAGAAATAGTTCATTGAGATGAGAGGTTAAAGTATGTGCGTCAATAAATGCACTTGTTTCCCTATGGATTTTCTGATAAAAAAAGAACGCGAGATAATAATGAATTTATTATGAATTACAACATGAAAACATGTTATCCATCTTACGTTAATCCATATAGTTTCGAAAACAGCATTTTGTTCTTTAAATTAGTATGTATTGTTCAATATCACTGTTTATCACACTTAAACGCCGTTTTGAAGCAGAAAATAGCAAGAAATACACTTTCATTAACGACATCAAGACGCTAATATCTGTATCTAATCAAAACACATGTACAATAATGTTTTGATGCTGTTGATGAAAGTGTATTTCTTGCTATTATCTGCTTCAAAACGATATTTAAGTGTGATAAATGGTAATTTTGGACGATATATACTGATGTTAACAATAAAATACCGTTTTCTGAACTACTTGAAAGCAATACAGATGAGCAGGACAAGTTTTTTCCGTATTCTATACTCTGTGAAAGAAAAATTATCTTACCTTTATCGTACCCTATGTTGTAGAATATAATAGTGTTGTCCTGCACAGCTGGAACTGATAGAACAATTTTTTTGACATTTGAATCACCTATAACCTCATATGTTTAATTTGAATCAAAGGCAAAACATTTTGTGGGCGTATCGTATAGAAAATAAATTTACAATGAGTCATTTTATGTCGTAGGTCATATTTGACTTGTTTTCGTCACTTGTGTTTGCTGGAAAAAATTTAGAAAGAAAAGTACGTGCATTATCCCTAGAATAATTTTCCGACTGCTGTCGGAATCAGTATCTTAAAACAGCCTGAAACAGTTATAAAATGCTGTATTATTGCATTATGTTTTATCCTATTACATCGTAATCTATCATCCAGTTTTTTTGAGCTGCTTTTTTGGCACTAGCAACCGATCATAATTTGTTTTATCCATAAATAGATATTTTTTTATTGTTAACCTATTACTCATAAAGTAATAATCCGAAAGTATGATAAATCAGTCTATACTAATGAAATTGACTGACCTTTGTTTTTTTTTTTACCTTATACGTTTTTTTTCTCTCGAAATATCTCTAGTACAACGAACAGAAAAAAAAACACGAAAAAGTGAGTATTAATTTCGTCATAATTGAATATTGGCAGGATTAGAAAAAAGCATTGAATCAAATGTCAATTGCCGAGCATATTTTACATTTAATAAATTAATACTGACCGTCATTTTCTTTGTGATAATCCCGTGGTAAATCTTGTTAGTTTATTTACTCTTTGATGAAACGAACATTTAAATATGAGAATGAATCCTATGGCTTACATTTATATGAATATATAAAAAAAAAAAAAGAAAGAAGCAGAACTGAATGACATTCAAACAAAACTGTATGCCAAACTTACGCTTCAATTGTTCAAACTCTTGTGCAATTTCATGCCTAAAGATATTGACATTTTGACGTAATAGAATCCTTGATTAGAATGAACAATGCCATTGTAACTAACGACCGGCGGCCATGAAAGTGAAGGCTCTTTACTTCTTCTCAATCATGATTATTTGCTTTTTGTCACCATTAGAAAAAAGAGATGAGATTTTTTTTGTTGAAACTTTATACTACATCTCGGATAAAAAGCTTTACAATTCTAATCTTAGAACTTTCACGTGACCATGAGTTTACTTATATGGACTCGAATTATATATATTCTTGGTTTTATTTTCGACTTACTTGAATCAAATAGATAAAAGCAAAGAAATTAAGGAGAATTTACTGTTCTTTAATGTGAAAAAAGAAAGATCTGAAGATTATCTGGTTTTGTGCAAAAAAATAAATAGACACCAGCTGGATACTCTTTGTAAAAAGAAAAAGAAAATATTGCTGTCGGATGTTCGTAATTTATCTAGTTTATTCAAACGCACCCTATCTATCTCGTATCATCTTTCTTCTTAAACTAATAATTCTGTTTTCGTCAAGACAAACAAATACTGACATATCGGCCGCAGCTAATAATTAACACAAAAAAATTGAATTATTCTTTCCACATAATATTTCTTCTTATGTAGATGTCTTTTGTTTGAAAATATGATAAAGAACTTGACGACGATAGAAAATATATGACATTGCTTGGTCGAAAACATTGTATTATTTCTACTGCTGCTGCTTTCAGTTGTTTTTCGTTTATTTTTCTTATAAATTTTATTTTGAATCTTACATTTTGATTGATATGTAAAGCGAAATGATAACACAATGGGTATTCTAGTCATTGTCATATTAAGTGAAACAAGTTGTTAGAATTTAATCATGAAGCCAAGTTTCTTGACAATAAAGTTTACTATATTCGATCTCTACAATATTCGTACCAGAGACGAAGTCTTTCTGCTCCCTTAGGATCACCACTGATTTCTACGTGTCTTATTGATACTAATTTATGAGTTTTTAACACATTTCACTGAGCTTCATATTTATATAGAATATATACCCATGAGTTATATTCAAAAAGTGACGTCAGTGCAACACATCCAAAATCGTATGCCATGTTTCATTTTTTATTGCTTAAATACAATAATTTGTCTTATTATTGATTAAAATATTCTACTTTTTCTATCCATTAAATTATGAAAATAATTCGTCGCAAGTTACAAAAAGAAAAAAAATCTTTATTGGAAAGAGTATCAAATAAAAAATGCATTATTTTACTAATTCAACTGTTGATATCTTTTTATTTGAAGATTTTTTTTTAGAGTATCGAAAATAATGAATGTACTCAATAGTAAGAATATGGTAACTGTGATTAGAATTATAATTGACATAAATGAAAGAACATCATTTATATGATTGTCATTGAATTCGATGGAAATTTTTTATTCTACGTCAGAATTATAATATGAAATTTTCAAATTATTTCTTTCAAAAATTACTTTGTATGAGAGAAAGAGCCTAATAAGAATTTCACCTCAAAATGTGTTAAGATCATAGAAATAGTTTCATTATGTACGACAAATAATACAACGATTAGCTTTATTGATATTACCTATGATGTGTATAAATCGATATTCTGTATACATAAAATGAAATCATACAAAAAGTAATAAATAAGTAAAATACATTTTGCATACATAGAATTTACTAGATATTTGAAGCATTCTATTGCCCTTTAATACATAATGTATAGCACGAAAGTCTTAACACGAATTATTCGCTTATTTTTTCTGGGCACTGAAAGAGAACTGTTTAGTGTTTTCTAGATGCATAAGATTGAATGACTATCAATAAAGTTTTTGAAATGTCTAACATTATGTTTGTATGCAGCGATTCTTTTTGGAGTACTTCCTATTTTGTGTCTTGGAATAGTTTTAATTCGACATTTCATCTATGCATTTCCATCATACAGCTAATGTCTATTTCGAAAATAGGGGTATAGGAGTTTTTTTTTAATAACTTTTAATAGAAACAACATAGAGACCCACAGTTTTCAGCATTAGAAAGAGCAGATGAAGATTCATAATATCGTTTATTACACTTTTTAAAAACTCATATACCCTGTGAGGTGACTATAATGAAATTCGATGTGACTTCATCTCCTCCTTCTCATACTGAAAACTGCAGCGATCTACCCTGTTTCTATCGAAATTTATTCAAGAAAATATCTATTCACCTTTTATTGAACATGGGCATTAGTTTTCATGAAAATCAGTATTAGTCAAAAACGTTTCTATTTTATAAACTGTTTTGTCTTTTGAATTTCATAGATTTCAATCCAAATATAGAAATAGTATGTTACACAATCACTATTTGAAAACTATCTGACGATAGTTGTCCAATCTTACCTCGGAAGGAAACTATGAATACGTCTTTGAAAAATGCGAAATAGTTTGAATCTAACTAACTACTTCTGGCTTTAATCAGAACCGTAGCCAAGGGGTGTAAGGAGTGCTTGTACCTATTTTATGGCATAACTTTCGTACAATTGATTACATCTTATATGTGCCATATCATCATTTTTATCCTAACTAATAATGATTGTTGTCATTATTGGTATAAAAAAAAGTATAAATGAATTCATAGATGTCTCATCAATGAAAACTAATAAATAATTCGAATATTTGAGTTTTAGTTTGAATTTTTTTCTGATTTTTTTAAAAATAACTACTGCTTGAATATTCAACAGATGCGTATAATAGTATTGGTTAATTATAAGCACCAATGAAACTCATCTAAATAGAAATGTCGAGTGGATGGAGGAAATAGGCAAGGTTTAGTTGTCATTTTATTAATTATTGACTGCAAGAAAGAAAAATTAGACAAAGAGAAAAGAAAAATCACAAGAATTTCTTATTGTTGATTTTTGTATTAATTAGTTTTTCAGATTATTTAGTCCAAACTTTTTTTCCATTCGAATTAGTCAAATTTTAAAATGTCGGATCATGCATCATCCGGAGATACATCGGGCTCAACTGAATTTAAAGCTGGTCGTCCTCCAGCAAGTAAGAATAAAACTTACTTGAGTATAATGAAATTTTTAATTATTTATTTCTAATTAGTAAAAGTTGGTGGCATGCGTGTTGGTGCATCACGTCCTCGACAAACATCGCAAGGCGATGATAAAGACAAAAATTTTACTACTGAAGATGCTTCAGGAGATAGTACAATTGCTGATGACAAAGAGAGATCATCTGAGAATGATAATCGAAGAAATCATGATGATATTGATGATGAACAAGGATCAGGGTGAGTATAAAGAATATTTAGAAAAAAACAAAAACAGAATATGAATTTACTTATTTTAGAGCGTTATCTAATCGTGTAGCTGGTCAGATGGTATCTGGAACATTTGTACCTGTATGTAAATTACAATGAAGTAGGTAATATATTTTTATTATTGATTTATTTAGGTTCAAAAAGCTTTTCCAACTGAAGCCGTCAAACATATACATGATCGACATGGTACACATCCAAAAAATGAACATCATGCTTATTCAAAACATGATGATCAACGTTTTATAAATCAACCACGAAAACAATAAAGATTGAAAGAGAATGAAAGATAAACTGAAATAAACTATTGTTTTGTGTGTGGGTTTTTTTGTGCTTTATGTCATTTATTGAATAAGATCTTATTTGTGACTTTTTAATAGTTTTTAGATATATTAATAAATATATGCACGTTTGCTAATTAATTTACTTTTTTTTTTATTATTATTTATTTGAAGATATAATGAACGACGATAGTGAAATACCTTCTATATTTAGCAAAAATCGAACAACAGATAGTGTTCCATTATTTACTTGTGCACTCAAATTAGACAAAAATGATTATGAAAAAAAGGTTAGTAATCTCCATTTATTAATTTTTTTTACTTCTAATCAAACATCATGACGTCATTATGCTTAGATAATCTTAAAAGATAAAGAAAAATAAAAAAGAACTCTTCATTCTCTTGTTTTTTCTATGAGAGAAATAATAAAAGATAGCAGTAAGACTTTTAAGTATGAAGTTTATACCTTGAATTTTGACTTTCAAATATTCATTCGAAATTATTATTCATTTGACCTTTAACATGTTCGACAATTATATATCAACGAATAGGAAGTAAATATTACAAAAATTCTTCACATAGATAATATTTGCTTCCGAACAAACATCATCGTACAATAATCTTTTATTTTTATTTATTTAGATGCATCTGGAACGAACATTTCGTCAAATAATTGACGATACACGTTCCAAACAAACAAATCTTCCACCAGAAGCTCAAAATGATTTAACATCAAAATCTAATCCACTTGAATATTATGATACATTTTTTATTGATCGAAATGGTGATGAATTATCATCATTTAATGTTGGTGCACTTCAACAAGGTTGGCTTATACCAGAATATGAACAAGTCTATCGTATAGCTTTACCTGATAGTGAACAACATGCATCATTACAACGAGCACGTCGACCTAAACCATCATGTTTTAATTGTGGACAATTAGATCATAATGTTCAAGGATGTCCTATGAAATTAGATAGTGATCGTATACGTCGTAGTCGTGAACAATATCAAGAACAAATGGCTGAAGCATGTGGTTATAATGATTTATCACAAATGAATGGAGGTGGTAATGAACCAGCAAGTCGTTATCATGAAGATTCATATCAATCAAGTTTAAATGATCAAGTTATAATCGAAGAACGTTTTCGACGTTTTCAACCAGGTTATATTGGTTATGAATTACGACAAGCATTAGGACTTCGAGATAATCAATTACCAATGTATATATATAATATGCGTCGATGTGGTTATCCACCTGGATGGTTACGTGAAGCACGTGTTAAAAAATCTGGTTTACAAGTTTTTCATGATAATGAAGAAGGTATAATTAAATCAAAAAAGAAAAAAAAAGAAATCTATTTCATATTAAACTGTTTCTTTCAGGTGAAATAATTGAAACAAAAAAATCCGAACCAATTGATCCAACTGGACAAGATAATGTTTTTCCTGGTTCATTATTAGATGATAATATGCAAACACAAGCTGATTTAACTAATGAAGATAGTTATGAATATGATTTTGATAAAGTTGTTTCATATCCTGGTTTTAATGTTCAAGTACCAGATGGTTGTATTGATGAAGCATATACATGTTTAAGTTTACCAGCATATGATAAGCAACAAAGTAAAGAAAATCTTATTGAAGAAATGTATCTTTTAAAAAAACCTTCACTTAAACGTAAATCAACACTTGAAACATATAAACCAACACCAATTGAAGAACTTAATACATCAAAACAATCGAAAGTATCAACAATAAATGAAACAAATTCACCATCAATACAAAATGATCAAAATCAATCATCAACAAATTATGAACAAAAAAGTCTTGGACAAGTTTATGGTACACCTTTATGGATGTTTAGTAGTACGCCAAAATTACATGTACCACAACAATTACCAAGTCGAGATCAATTTCAACAAGGCATATGTGATCATTTACCATTTGAAAATTTACCTTCATATCAAACAGAAAAAGTTGGACGTATTGTAAGTTTATTTAATCGTCGTACGAGAAAATTGAAAATTTCTCATCGTCGAGAAAATTCTATTTTGATTTTGTTTTTCAGAGTAAATTGATTAATCTATGTTCATTTATTTATTCAGATTAGAACAGTAGAAAAAATTCTTTTATTCTTCAAAAAAGTGAACGAAGCACGTTTGTTAATATTTGCTTTAATTTCTTTGTATGAGTGATCAAGTAAAGATTATTCAGAATATAAGTTCATGAGACACATTGACAACATGTTTAACATATGTTCTACTTTTACAAATAGATCAATTCTTTGAGTTTTAAGTCTAAGAAATTAGAATGAAAAAAAAAAAATCTTTTTGTTTTCATTTATCTTTAGTTTGATCTACTCAAAGATGTACAAAAACGACTTGAAAGTCTTAATAATGATCCTTCATCTGTATCAAAAACTGAAAATTCTAACAATGATAATAATATGCAAATGTCTCCAGAGCATACACCAGAATCTTAAGAAATATAAATTTCATTTGTATTTATCAATATACTATCCTTATATGTTGTTGTTTTTTCTTCTGTTTTCTGCTCGAATTCTTTATTTTCATGTCTCGAAATATTTCAACGAGTAGAGACTAATACTGATTGTATTTTGTTTTTTTTTCTTTCAGATAGATTTTTAGTTTTAGAAAAATAAAAACAATGACAGATACATCTAGAATAACAATAACTAAAACTAATAGTTATATATCACAATTTACAGAAGAATTTTCAAAAATTATCCGACGTTATAAAAAACATTGTATATATATTAAACGATTACTTGAAGAAGCTGATAAATCTTACAATGAAATAAATGATAAACGTGTTCTTACATCTGGTATGTTAGATTTTCTTTTATTTAAAAAAAAAAAGAAAAAGAATATTTAATACGTATTTTATTTTTGTTTAGAAAAATTTTCTGAAATTAAATTATCAAAATTAGATCGTGAATATATTAATAATATATCAACACGATCATTAGCATTAATAATATGTTCACAAACATATAATGGAAAAGCACGTTTTGTTAATGAACTTTTAAATGAACCTTTATTACCAGAATCACCAATTATTCAAAATAATGATATTGTACGCATGGTTCGAATTAAGGTAAAAATTTATTTTAAAAGAAAATTTTATCTTTTAATTTCAGATTTTAGGATTTGTTTGAATTCTTTGTTTATTCTTTGTAACCATAAGATAGAAATTAGTATTGCTCGATTGATTCAGATTATTCTTTTATTTGCTATCTTTATGTCTAGCGATTTGTATGAGATTAATTAATGTTCGCATGAGTGAGTCAGATTGACTATCATGCCAAGTAATGTACGACAAATAGCAGACTCTTCAATAGTATTTTCGAATAGACTAGAAGAACTATCTGAGGGACCAATCTAGAGTTCTGTAGAGCGGACGTTTTCGCATTTCAAATCTTGCTAACTGAAAAGCGCTTGACCGCGCAATTGTAGTAGCTGACTTAGTACTTTTTACTCGCTTAGCTGTCATGACGAATTCTTCTTCTCGACGTATTAGTCACGCCGCAAGTTCATTACTCATTCTCTTCATCTACTCATCATTTCGAAATGAGAAAGAAGTTTGCTAAAATCGTGAGAATACGATGAGTACATATTTGAAATCCTTTTTTTCAACACTCGATTCCATTCGGAGGCTATAAAAATGTGAAAAACAGTAATTAATAGGTGAGAATTGCCTTATATGGTCATGTATGACTCAATCTGAAAAAGACATTAATATTTCAGATGTTACATGTAATAGTTTCGCTATATGGCAATAGTTGCTTCAGATTCACTGTTTCTTAAACTGTCAGCTGAGTCAAGATAGGCGAACGCAACTTAAATTTATTATGATTTCCTCTACGGAAGCCTCGAATTTGAATATTGCATATGTCGTATAGGATCGCGTCCTGATATATTTTTGGCTTGTCAGTCAATCACGTTTTATATTGGGGCTTTAATCGGATGAAACTCTAGTTTTTTTTTCTGTTGTTTAGTTGAGTACATGATTTTTCCAATATTGTTCCGTTTTGGGAAATTTTGTGACTAGGGACTACTCCGCAGGATTCTAGACCGATTTTATTAGATAAATGGTTTATTATATATATTTTGATAAGTTTTTGTATTCAAAGACATTAGAATATAAATAGTAATTATTAATGACTAAATTTCAGTCATTTATCGTTATAAAAGGAAAAAAGCCTAATGGAGTTTGGAATAAAAAAGTGATGAAAGGCCTTGAAAAATAATAAAAGAAAAAGAAATGGCAAGGCTCATGACGTTTGTGAAAATGAAAACGAAAACGAAAACAAAATCTTAACATGACATATGAATAAATTTTCTCCTATATTTTTTTTTCAAACATTTCGAACTAGATCAATTTACATATTTAAGATGATGGTAATCATTTTCAATACTTGTTAGAAACGAAATATGTAGTTAGCTTGAACTATTTAAGGAATAATCACATTATTTTTAGCGGTGGACTTTTCGAACATTCTGTAAAATATTCTTTCCAGTACGGAAAACTTTACGATAATATTTCGAAATATGGAATAAATAGGATGAAGTATATTGAAACATGGATGTATTTATTAAGGTTTTCTTCTTCATGATTATTCATGAGATGGTAACTTTTTATAATGAGAAACTCCTGATCAAACGACAATGAGAAAAATTTCAAGGAGATTCGATTCAGTACTATTATAAATAAGCACAGAAAATTGATTTGAATATAAAAAGAATATAGAAATCAAGTGTATTCTTTTTTGATTGGGTGTGCGTCAGGAAATTTGTCTTATTATCGTTTACCATCCACATTTATAATCTATTCAAAATAAAACGTTATCTAGCTCATAATTATTCAAAAGAGAAAAGAATGAAATTGATAGAAAAGTATAGGTAAGGCTCTTGGCTCTACTTAAATCAGTGGTTTATCCAGCATAGAGAACCGAGAGAGTGCGTCTCCTCGAAAACCGGATTCATTCTTCTGAAGTTTTAAACCTCTTCTCTGATTTGAATTTGTTGAAAATTGGACTTCGTCATGCCCTCTTGTTATTGAATTTCTTACCAGTTCGATATAACATACAGATATTTGAAGAGAGCGGGTAGACAATATGCTTATTAAATAATACATCTTTTCTTAGATTTCAGTTCATAGTCGTTTACTAACCTTTCTTATATTTGACATTGTCAATCATTATAAAAAAAAACTTTCTATAACATTTAGTGCAGTTGTATTGAGAAAATTTTTTCACATTAACAAGAATTCTTTATATTACTTTATTAAATTTGGTATAACAATTTGCTGTCATATCAATAAATTTCACTTTTTTGATTTTATTTTATATTTAGCATCATTCAACAACTGGTGCTAGTTTAAATATATCTGGTTCATTTGAACTTATTGATACTGATGGTGTACATAAATCTGTATCATGGTCAACTGTTCCACGTGATGATATAATTGTAAAGGATCAAAATGATTTTCATCCACATCGAATAGATGAAGATAATGATCAATATGAAACACCATTATTAGAAATTCGAAAACCTTTACATTTACTTAGTAATCATGTACAAATGATAGTAACACCAAGTAATCAAAATTTACATATTAAACAATTTTATTCACAAATAACAGAAGAAATTATACCTATATTTATTTATATAATTGATCAAGAAAAATTATCAGAAAATGATCTAGAAGAATTAAGATCATTTCGTACGTTTGCAACAAATGAACCAATCTTATTTATTCGAAGTGATCAAAGTGATTCGTAAGAAAATAAAATTGATATTCTTATTTTTTTTTTCATTGATGGTTTTTTTTTTAGAACTAATAATTTATTTGCAGATACAGATGAAACACCATGTGTAGAAGTATTTAGGTACAAAATTTTGATTTTTTTTTAAATTTTATTTAAAGTCAATTTAATCTATTAGACAATTATGTGAACTTGGTTTTGTTTCTTTATTACCCCCTGAGTCTTGTGATAATACATCTGAAATAAGTTCATCTCTACTTCAAAGTGATATGATTGATAATGGTTTAAGTAATCCTTCATTATTTTTAAATTATATTCGTAAACATGTTGATGGATTAGCTATTCGTGCTGGTATAAAATTTCTTTATTTTATGAAATGAATTATTATTATTTTTTTCTATTTATTTAGTTAGTATTTTACAATGTTCACAAGAACTTTGTTTAGATGTTTTCAATGATAGTGCTTTCGAAATGGCAAGGTAAAAAAAACAACAACCAAGAAAAGAAAATTTTAAGATATTTATCAATTTTCTTATTGTTTTATTAGAGATATGCTGATAACACCTAAACGATTAAGTTATGCACGTGAAAAAGAAAAAGATTTATATGAATCATTAATTAGTTTAACAAATTCCAAACAAAATGAAATTCAAAAGTTAATTTGTGAAGCTGTTAATGATATACAAGAAACATTAACTGATCAAGCTTGCTCATTAGAAATTTCAGGTATTTAATATTAAATTTGAACATAAATGAATCTCTAAACGAGTATAATGCAACTTTTCGGTATGATTGGTGCAAAAAGTCGTAAATAGATTTAAATAATTTCTTAGTACAGAAAAATTTTCTCAACATTTTTCTGTATATTCGTCGAGATATGACTTCAGTGTAAACGTGTCGTAAGAAACGTTATCTAATGAGGAAATTGATTAAAACTCGTTGAAATTTCATACATTAAAACCCCCTATTAATCTAGAACCATCGTTTGTAATTTATGTTATAAAAATATGTTTTAATTGAAAATCTATGTTGGGAATTAAAGTAGGACGACGTTCCACAATGAAACAGATTCAATCGTTTGAAATACTATCTATTTACACTCATTCTCACTTGAAATACATAAGGTGATCCAAAAGTTCTCGGAACACGTATATTTTTATTGTATAAATGATTTATTCAAAAACTTTATTTCATTAAAATCATATAGTATACCACGCAGCTTTTTGATTACCGCTCGTTGCAAGTCTTCAGAATCAGGATAACTGTTTGATTGTCGTTTCAAATAACTACAAGGACAAAACTTATATTGTGCTACGTCAGGAAAATAATATGAGTAAGGTATCCCAATATCATCTCGGTAGTGGAGAAGTGTTGTGATAGCATTCGTTTGTAAAGTCATGTATTGCCGTGGTGCAGCTTTATGGAATGCAAATTAGACTATGATCTTTCTTTTCTGATAATGTTAAACAAAAATTTCAGGCAATCGTCTTTCTAGTAAGCAACAGATATTGTATTGCTGTCTTTAACCATCCGCATAAACTTCAGTTCTATAGAAGATGTAAAACTTGTTCTTTTCCTATACTGATCTACCGGTGATAGTGTCATCTAGGAGTTATTGACTAATATCAAGTTTGGCAAGATTTTGTGGAGATATTTTAATTATCTATTGTCTGCATTTTTCGGTCAACTGATGTGATAGTCATCTCGTGCACATTTTTTCAATTTCAATTGATCATAGATGATTCTGCTAATGTGCGGATTTTCCTTGATTAAGGTACATACAGTTTCAAAATTTTTCTACTGTGTTACATAACACATAATCTTTATGTGCAGTCAAGTTTTACAGTAATGCAAATATAGGAAAAACATAAAAAATATCGTTCTACACTTGTTTTTAAATGTTGTTCTGATGTGAATTTCTCAAGAACGATAAGTAAAAGATGACTAATTTTCTAACTGATAATACAACTTTAGGATCTATATCTTGGGCACAAATTTTGAGAAGAAATTTCAGAAAAAGATTGCTTTTTTTCATCCTGTTTTTCTTTAACTTGTGCGAAGAAAAACAATATCATTCTATACAAAAAAGAAAAACTGTCTGTCATATAATATTTCGAAAGAATAGGTAAGGAAAGAGGAATGTGAAAGACATATGATTCAATAGAACACTTCAAGTTCTTCACAATGCCCTATTCATTATCTTGTTTTTTTCTTTCCTTCAATTCTCACAAAATTTTCCCTTCTTACCGCATCTCTCTCTCTATATTGTTTACATTTTATTTAGGAATTGAATTAACTGACCAATTAACAGTAAAAACTGCCAGAGATTTAAAAAAATGTACAAGTATTGTACAAGAATTTGTACTTGTACGATTAAATAAAGCAATTGGTGAAAAATTATTAAGTTCAGTTAGTATTTTACATCAAGATTATGTTGGAACATTAACACGTTGTCTTAGTCATTTGGAACGTAATCAAGATGATGATGAAGCAAGTATATCAGCAAGCAAAGCTTTACAAGAGGTAATCTTTTATGAATATAATTGAGTTATTTTCATTATAAGTGATCCATTAAAATTCTTTTTATGTTATTATATTAATCTTTTATTCATGATTCTCTAACATATCAGATCTAAACGAATAGAATTTTTCTGCATTGAGAGAAATAAATATTGTTTTGTTTTGTTTTGTTTTTTTTTGTTTTATTAGATTCTTCAATCAGCATATCAAGTAAATGTATCATTACCAACAAATTCAAATTTATTTAAAATATTAATTATTAAAATGAAAGAGGTTATTTATAATAAATTAAATTGTTTTCGTTTTTAATTTTTTCTAAAAAAATTTTCATATTACTTGTAGGTCTTTCGAACATTCAGTTGGAGTAATTGTCCACGTATTGATCCTGATTTTAAACGTTCAGTTGCATTAAATATGTTACAGAATGTCAGTGATGCAAAGTAAGATTTTCAAAAAAAAAGCAACGAAATTTTTCATTTTTACTTTTTATATATTAAATTAATTTTAAGATTAGCAAAAAGTGTTTGTGCACAATTGAATGATCGTATACGTATGTCACATGATAATTTTGAAACTTTACTTAAACAATTAGAACATCGACATTCTGATCGTTTAAAATCAACTGAAGACAAACAACAACGTGTACGAAAAGAATTTACACCAAAAATAGCACGACATTTACTTGAAAGTACATCACTCAAGGATCTTATTTTGTATGGTATACCAAAACAAGGACATGAAATTGGTCGTGGACAATATGGAGTTGTATATGAATGTGAAAGGTGGGCAAATCAACGTTCATGTGTATTAAAATCTGTTATTCCACCTGATGATCGTCATTGGAATGATCTTGCTTTAGAATTTCATTATTTAAGGTAAATTAAATATTTAAATAAAATGTTTCTTTTTTTTTGTATTGAATAATTTTCATTTATGTTTCAAGACAAATTCCAGATCATCCAAGAATTGTTAAATTAATTGGATCAGTTATTGATTATTCAATTCGTGATTATACACCCGTATTACTTGTAATGGAAAGACTTACACGAGATTTATATGTTGCATTAAAACATAAACTTTCATTTGATATTAGGTATTTTTGATTAAAAATGAAATTTGAATGTAAAAGAAAATTTTTATTTTTAGAATTCATATTGCATTAGATGTTGTTGAAGGTTTACGGTATTTACATGGATTAGGTCTTGTTCATCGAGATATAAAATTAAAAAATGTTTTGGTAAGAAATAGATTACTAAAATTAAAATTAACGAATTGTATTTAATGGAAAAGAAGCTTAGATAGAAATATTTTGATTAAAATTACTATTTACTTTAGAGGAAGGATGAAAATTTCAAAAGTTAAGAATAGAAAAGTCAACTATACTGCCAAAATACCTCAGGTTTCATGATCTAACTGAGAAATAAACTATCTAGCTAAATCTATTTACTGTCCTTTATACTGCATACTCTATTCATGAAGAAGAGCCTATATATCCAAAACTTCATATTTCGAAGAGATTTAATTCGAAATTTTTATGCAAACTATTCTGATTGATTTATTTTCCTATAAGAATAACACTTAGTTTATCGTTATCTGTACATTTCTTCGTAAAATATACTAAACTATGATTAAGTTTTTGATTGAATAATTCTATTGATTCAAAAGTTTTCTCTCTAGTTGGATGGATCTAATCATGCACGTATAACTGATCTTGGCTTTTGTAAACCAGAAGTAATGATGAGTGGTTCTCTTGTTGGTACTCCAATTCATATGGCACCAGAATTATTTACATCAAAATATGATCATTCAGTTGATGTATATGCATTTGGTATATTATTTTGGTATATTTGTTCGAATGGTGTTAAATTACCGAATAATTTTGATATTTGTTCAACAAAAGATGTTCTTTGGTCACGAGTAAAACAAGGTGTTCGACCTGAACGTTTAAATAATTTTACTGATGAATGTTGGGAAATAATGACAAAATGTTGGGATTCTCAACCATCTCAACGTCCATATTTAGGTGAAGTTCAAGAAAAACTTGAACAAATTCTTAGTAAAATAATGACACGTGCTTAATTTTTTTAAAATTTTTTTTGTAATCAAGAATATTTTTTATTTTTGCTAAATGATTAAACTATTTCTTTTTTACATTTTGTTATTTAAGAGAATTATTTTTGTTTTTGTTTTTTTATACATCTTTATTTCCATATTTAAGTGCAATATATTTCTAAATATTGTGTAAATTTTAGTATAATGACAAAAAATCGTCGTTTTCCATTTGAACGTAATCGAGAAAAAATTTCATTAGAAAATTTTTCAACAACTGAACAACAATTATATTCCATAATTCGACAATATGCATCAATTTGTCGACATAATCATATTCCTAAGTCTCAACATTTACAACAAAATATTATTGTTTCTAATGAAGAAAATCAGCAATTAAATCAATTAATTAATTATTTGAAGCAACAACGTAATATTCATGATGTCGATATAAATAATTTTGCTATTTTACGTGATCATAATATTCAACATTGGAAGCAAGTTAAATATGAATGGCAAAAATATTATCGCGAAACAAATAAAAAAGAACAAGAAATATTTGATAATCTCATAAAAACTTTTCGTAGATGATAAAAAAAAAATCAAATGATTCATTATGTATTAATAAATCATTTTTGTTCTTTTTCCTCATGAATGAATCATTGTTGAATAGTAATAAATATAGATTGATTTACATACTTTGCTTTTTTTTGCTCTTGCAGATGGCCACAAATTCTATAGAACATGAAGGACCCGATATGGGTGTTGGTGATTTTGTCCTATTATCTCACATTACTATGGATGCATTCGTTAAAAATCTTAAATTACGGTTTGTTTTTTTCTTGTTTTGTTTTTGTATAATAATCAAATATAATTAATTTTATAGATTTGAAAAAGGACGAATTTACACATATATTGGAGAAGTTTGTTACAAATAGTTTCCTATTTTTTATTTTTTTTTTTAAATATATAGGTACTTGTTAGTGTAAATCCTTATCGTGATTTACCTATATATGGATCAGAATATATTAAAAGTTATAAAGGACGTGAAATGTTTGAACGACCTGCACATATATTTGCACTTGCTGAAGCAGCTTATCGAACATTAAAACAACGTTCATTAAATAGTTGTATTGTCATATCAGGGGAATCGGGATCAGGTAAAACCGAAGCATCAAAAATAATTCTGCGTTATATAGCAGCAGTAACAAATGTATCAAATCAAGCTGAAATACAACGGTTAAGAAAATATTTCATATAAAAGTCTTCTTTCGAATTTTATTTGTAATTTATTTAGAATTAGTAACATTCTTATTCAAACAAATGTTGTACTTGAAGCATTTGGTAATAGTCGAACAAATCGTAATGATAATAGTAGTCGATTTGGTAAATATATGGATTTACATTTTGATTATAAATTTGATCCAATTGGTGGAAAAATTCAACATTATCTACTTGAAAAATCTCGTGTAGTTAAACAACAATTAGGTGAAAGAAATTTTCATTCATTTTATCAATTATTATACGGAGAAAATAATTTACAAGAATATGGTATTAATCTTAAAGCTGAAGATTATTATTATATAAATCAAGGAAATTGTTGTAAAGTACCAAAAATTGATGATAAACATGATTATCAACAAGTGAAACAAGCTTTTAAAATTGTTGGTTTTACACAAGATGAAATATCAATTATATGGAAAATAGTTGCTGCTATTCTTCATCTTGTAAATTTTGTATAAAAGATTATCGAGAAGTAGTTTGACATAATGTACATTCATTTTGTAGTCTCTTAAAGAAGACTACAGGGTTAATATTCTCTTCGCCGAAATTCGGCGATCTGCAATTTCAATAAATTCTACATCGATGATTTCTGTTTACAATTGACACGATGTATCTTACCAAAATATTTACTGTTGACAAATGACTTACAGCAAACGAAACCATTTTATCAAGAAATGTTTGCTTTTTCAATCGTCATATTTGAAATTGTTTTCGTTTCTACTTAGAGTAAGCATTGTAGAGAGAACATCAAATTCTGATACTACATAATTCAATGTTCTCAAGTTTCTGCAAGCTTTTTTCAACGACTCTAAAAAATGAACGAGCGTTTTGTCAACATTACTTTTCGATAATCTGTAACTAATTATTTGAGTTATAATTTTTTTTTTAAAGGGTAATTTAAAATTTACTGATGTTGATGGTGAACATTGTTCAATAACACGATCGAATGATAAAAATGATGAATTAAAATGGATATCAAAACTATTATTATGTGAAGAAGCCGAAATATCATCAGCATTAACTTCACGTGTTGTTGCTGCACGTAATGAAGTTATACAAGCTCGACAAAATATAACACGAGCTTATTATGGACGAGATGCATTAAGTAAAGTAAGTGTTTTGATATCAAAGAAAACAAGTATATTAATATAAATATTAGGCATATTTTTTTCTTCTATTTTGGTAAGAAATAAAAGCAAACGCATGATTTGTTTTGTTTTTGCTGTATATTTGTCAAATGTTCAATTTTTTTTTTCAAAGAATATTTTGCATGATTTTATATTTTTGTTTTGTTACTTTTTCTTATCTTTTGATTTAATTGAATTTCATTTTTTAATTATATAGGCATTGTATGAACGTTTATTTGAATGGTTAATTAAATATATAAATAAAACTTTATCAAGAGAAAATAATGAACAATTGAATTATATACAACGTACTACACAAAGTTCACTTGTTATTGGTGTATTAGATATATATGGTTTTGAAATATTTGATAATAATAGGTATGATTCTATTTTCTTTTTTTTTTGGGTTTATTTAAAACAAGAAAAAGAAAACGATTTTTTTTTAAAATATAGTTTCGAACAATTATGTATCAATTATTGTAATGAAAAATTACAGCAATTATTTATTGAACTTGTACTTAAACAAGAACAAGAAGAGTATGAACGAGAGAATATTACTTGGCAACATGTATGATTTATTTCAATTGTATATTTTTATTTTTCAAATACTTTTTAGATTGATTATTTCAATAATAAAATTATTTGTGATCTTATTGAACAACCACGTACAGGCACTTTAGCATATCTTGATGAAGCTTGTCAACATGTAGGAACAATTACAGATGAAATGTTTCTTGATTCAATAAATAAAGCTTTTAAAAATCATAAACATTACTCGAGTTGGGCTGTAAGTAGACGTCTTTTTTTCTATTCTGATATTAATGATATGTATATTTTTAGCTTACTCCGGGAGAAAAAATATGGAAAAATGTTAATAATAATAAACTTTTTCTCATTCGTCATTATGCAGGTATTTATCTATTGTTGTTTTATTCTTAAATATAAATCAATAATTCTATTGTGATTTTATATTATAGGAGATGTCATTTATTCAGTCGATGGCTTTTTAGATAAAAATCGTGATACATTATTTGATGATTTTAAACGTTTATTATTTCATAGTAAAAACCCAATCCTATCGTCAATGTGGCCAGAAGGTGAAAAAAGTATTACATCAGTAACACGACGACCATTAACAGCAGGCACCATTTTTCGTAATTCAATGATTAGTCTTTCTACTCTTCTTTCATCTAAAGTAATTATACACACAATATTATCCTAACCAGGGAATATCTCCAAATGTCAAATCACTTTTGAGTCATGACTATGTGTATCATGTAGATTCTAATCAGCTATGAAAACACTGAAAAAAAAGTTCAGACTATTGGTTTATTGCTGCCGAAGTATTATGTTTTGACTATATTTTTTTAATAGAATATCATGATTTGCACAGTTTCAAGTTGAAATTCCAAATTCAACTTTTATTAATGTTTCTGAATAGATCACGGCATTTTACTAAAACTATCGAAAAATGCAATACTTCAGCATCATCAAGATACACATAGTCGTGAATCAAAAGCGATATGATACTTAGATATGATTCTTCGTGAGATTTATGCATATGTATTCATTGTTTTCTAGCAACCCTTTTATGTTCGTTGTATCAAACCAAATGATGAAAAATCTTCGAATATATTTGATCAAACACGTGTTGAACATCAAATTGCTTATTTAGGTTTACTTGAAAATGTTCGTGTTCGTCGAGCAGGTAAAGAATTTTTAATATTTCTTTTGCAAAAAAATGAAAATAAAGATAATTATAAGGTTTTTGTCATCGAACACCATATGAACGATTTGTTCAACGGTAAAATTAAATAATAAAAATGTTTAGAATATAGGTTTTTTCATCGTACATATATTTCTTAGATATAAAATAATTGATTCAGTTCGATCAAAATTATATCCTCGTGGAGCACCAACTAAAGAAAATGCTGCTTATATTTGTCGGGAACTTAATCTTGATAATGATGTTGCTTATGGTAATACAAAATTATTTATTAAACAACCGTAAATTATTTAAACATAAAAAAATCTAAATCTTTGATTGTTCTATTCATTGTTCTCACTTTAGAATTTCATTATTTCAATTGGAAAAGAAACGAGTAGAAGGTTTACAATTTATTGTTACTATTCTTCAAAAAGTATGTACAATGAAATATTATTGGAGGTTTTGTTTTTTCAAATTATCTATAAATTCTCATTAAAGTATACACGTTCATGGCGACAATATCGTGAATTTCGTCGTGAAATTTCAGCTATTAAAATTCAACGTGCCTATCGAAAATATCGTACTCGAAGTTATATTAATAAACTTAATGAATTATTTCGGTAAATTAATATTTTCTTTTTTCTATATCATCATTAATAGTTTATCTATTGTTTAGTAATGTTTCGAATTCGCATGATCTTGGTAAAAATATTAAATGGCCAGCACCTAAACCAGGTTTTACACCTATGAATAATATGTTAAAAAAAGTTTATCAACGGTAAAGAAATGAAATAAGCATTTTTCTATCGTGTTATTTGAATTCCTTTTATTAGATGGCGTGCTTATAAAGTAATACAACGAATACCACCTGACCAACGAGCAATATTTGAATTAAAATTACTTGCTGGAGATTATCTTCAACAACGACCATCATTTCATGAAACAAGTATTCGTCAAGAATGGAAAGGAGATTATTTACTTCTAGTAAGTGTTTTTTTTTTTACATTCAATTTAAGACAACAATTACTACATTTCTCTTGTTCGGAATTTCGATTTCGATAATAAAAGAAAGACAAGAAGATGGGAACATTTTTTAACGATTTGACTAGTTAATGACAACAAGAGAACAACGATTATAAATACAACGGTTGTTTGATGAACGCTATGAAGGCTATTAATTAAATAATAATCTTTTTATTTTGTATTGGGTCCCTCATATAATATTCAATCGATAATCAGTATTTTACTAGCCAAAAAAATCATAGATACTCTGATCATTAAAATTAGTGATGTAACCAGCGTTTTGAAAAAAATTTTTTTTTTTGATTGAATTTATTTAGCCTGAAGAGAATCCTCATTCGGCTGAATATCGAAAATCAATCAGTGAATTACGTGTAAAAGATAATTTTACTCAAGTACTCTTTTCTACACTTGCAATCAAGGTATATTTTCTCAATTAAATTTTCATATATATATATATATATATTCATATTTTAAATATAATTTAGTTGAATAGTCATATTAAAATGGATGAACGTGCTATTATTCTAACCGATAAATATCTTTATAAACTTGATCCAAAAAAAAATTTTCATATTAGAAAAACTGGTATTCCAATTGATGATATTATTGGTTTAAGTGTTACATCAGGAAAAGAACAATTAATTGTTGTTCATTTAACATCAAATCATGATCTAATTTTTTATATGCATACAAAAAATGATCGTGTAGGTGAATTTGTTGGTCATGTAGCTAAACTTAAACGAAGATCGTATGTTATTTTTACTTATTAACATTACATTATTTTAGTTGTTTTGTTTTTAATGATAGATCAAATTTTTCAGTTGATGTACAACGTTATGTTTCAGCACAAATTGATAAATCGAAATATGTTATTAATGTAACATGGGGTGGTGTTGATAAAGTTGAATTTCACAAAGGTTCAAATAAGAATATTTCATTAATGTTGCCGAACAGTGTATAACTTCTTTTTCTTTTTTCTTTATATTTTATGAACATCGAATTTTCTCGTATTCTTGATCTGTTTATATCGAATATTAGATAATGGTGATTTTATGTTATTATACTCTTTGTGTATCAGGTGCATTTTGTAACAGTTCGCTATTAAATCTGAATGATATCGACGAAGATTTTTAGTTTTATTTTTCTCTAAATTTATGTTCTTTTCTCATGCTTTACTAATCAATTATTTTTTCTTCTCACCGTTGTACTGATGATGATATTATACTATTATATTAATAATATATAATTAATAAAGAAAATAGTGGCACTGCTTTCAATAAACCAAAAAAATATTTTCTTGGATTGATTATCAATTTATTACGGTAGAAGAAGAATATTAGAAAAATAATTTTGAATAATCGATTAGTCTTGAGTTTTGAAGAAATGAATGCAAAGCATTTTGCTGAAGAGAAAAATATCTTTGGTTAAATCCATCAGTACATTCTTGATAGATTATTGTTTCGTATCGTTTTCATAGGAAATTTCTCATAGTTTTCAGTTTTCAAAGATAATCATATAATAAATAGATTAGTATACGTTCGTATTCAACTTCTATCACATATACATTTTTCGAAAAATCTTATCTGACAAACTCGATGGAAGCACTTTTAACTGAGAATAATAATGGAACCAATTATTCATTCAAAAGCAATATTTTGTTTGTCACAAACTTGGTTATTTTCATACATGTAAAGCTTGAAACTTGAATTCGATTGAAATTTCAAGTTATCAAGAGAGGAAGAGGTAAGTACTTTTTCCCACCTAACTGGTCTTTTATATTAGCGGCGCGGTCAACGCACATCTCTATGTACACAGTAATCCAGAAAATTTCAAAACTTGAAACTTGAATTTTCAATTGAATTCAAACTTCAAGTTTGATACTACCTCTAACAGATACCCACATAGTACAATCGAAAAGGAACATTGAATTTCTGAGAAAGAAAACGTTACTGACATTTTATGCTACAATAAATGACTGTCGTAATAAAAATTTGTCTAATGTCACAGAACTCCTAGTAAAGATGCATAATCTTCAATACAAGTACAAAAAATTACGCAGATAAATTGTGGATAAAAGTCTGGATATGATTGTGTATTTTAAAAGGTATATTATCATTTTCAGTATTACGATCACCGAAAACTGCTGTCTTTTTTACAAATAATGTTTCAGACATAAATATCTGAGATTCTGTTCAGATCAATTCTAGTACAAAGTAAAAACTATAAATATCCCTTTCACGGCAAATTTCTTCTTCTTTACAAGAGATTATTTTCAACGAGTCACCTAATGAAAAGCACCTATTTTGCAAGAGTCGAACCTTTTTCATGTCAACTCTGATCGTCTTTTTACTGATTTAAATTTTAAACTCACACTTTCTCATAGAACAAGAAAGGTCTTACGTCATACTGAATGTATTGATTATAGTTCTTTGGTATCAACTAAGAATTTTCATTTATGTGTTCATTACATAAATATCAGAAACGAATTCATTCTATTGTCGAAGTTTTGCCAATTGGTAATTCATACAATTGTGACAATGTCTAGGTATCAAAAAACCTAAAAATATGAAGTCTGATATAAAAATCAAACTTTGTAGCTTCTGTTGTTTCACTATTGACAATAGTAGAAATTAAATCTTCATTGTAGAAAATCCGGAAAAACAGGGTATAGATGTTGTTCAAGATCAGTTATTTTGGTCTAGTAGATGAAGAGTTTTGAAAGAGTTCTTGCTTCGTTCTTATCATTAATTTATATCGAACGCCACTGATCAAAATAGAAGTTGTTACTAATAGAAATAACTTGTAGGAACAGTTTCCTTTTCTAAGTTCACCTAGAAAAGAAAGGAAATCGATTTAGTACTATAACTTGATAGAGTTTTAATTGAAAAAAATCGTACGAAGAGAATCCTTTCAGTTTCGTATCTGCTACTATTTAAATAAATCTGCGCGGTAATTAGAACCACGATGGTGGAATTTGTTCAGTTCGATATTTAATTTATAATGACTCTATGTAAGTATGAAGACATAATTCCAATAGATACATAATTTGCTAATATAGTATTATTTTCATTTTCAATGAGAGACAAATTATTAAGTATATAATTACAAGGATTTCAATAAAACCTTTTTTTTTTATTTATCAATAATAGATTATTCCTTCCTCTCTCTCTCTCTCTTTTTTCACAAAAGATCAAAGTATTGCTTTTCTGTTTTTTCTTTCTAAACATACATCCTTTCTTTTCTCAATCCGTTTCATCTCATTTTCATCGATATCAAGTAACTGACCCTTATTTTCACGTGCCGCATTGTTAACAGAAAAAAAAAATCTTACATCAGAGAACATTGCAAACGTGTCTATCCATATTCGATATCACCAATAAACATTCAATGACATTTATTAAATAAAAGTAAATACTCTCTAGATATATATATTTATTGAACACAAATAAAGAAGAACAAAAAACAAAAAAAAAAAAAAAGAATAAAGAGTGATACATAGAATCTACTGTTCAAATGGAATGCATCCAATGTTCATCTTTAAAAAAGTCCGGTATTTGATCATCTAAACGTTGAATAATTTTATAAATACTTTTTTTCCATGATGGTTCAAGATCTTTTTGTTGTTGTATAGCATGAAAAAATTCTCTCAATGTTGCTTGTACAACATCACGAAAACTTGCTGGAACCTAAATAAAATAATATTTTTTATTTAGTTTATTAAAAAAAAACAAAAAAACTTCTCGCATACATCAATTTGATTTGATCGATTATAATGAAGATTAAGAACACGATATAAATCAGAATCATTTGTTATAATTAAATCGTCAGCATTTCGAATACCTTCAGCTAAATATTGTCGAGCATATTTTTCAATTTGAATATAAAAAAATTCACTAAAAGAAAATTAAATGAAACAAAATAAAAAAAAAAAAGACAAGAGAAATTTTTTTTACCGAAAATTTGAAAACCATTTAACTAACTGTGCTGTTATTAATTTATTAAAACGTACATCAGGAAAATAAGCTTTTAATACTGATGAACTTGGATAACGTGTATAGAAAAACATTAATTTTGCTTTACGTAAATGAAGTGATGTCAAAATTGTCACGCAGTAAAAACAAAAACAAAAAAAAAAGAAAAGTAAGAACAGATGTTTATTAAGTTAATGATACATTTTTCTGTTTCGAAGGTTCGTATTACTCACTCAATATAAGATAGGTGGCCTCTATGACATTTACACTCGATTTATTCTTACTAGAAAAAAGGTCATTAAAAAAGAATACTTATTTGAAAAGCATTGTATTCAATTGTTGACTGTTGATGATTTGATGTTGTTGATTCAAACGAATGATTCGATAAACTTTTATCATCTTCAATTAAATCTTCATGAGAAATTATTTTGGATGTTATACGTGGTGACAAACGTGTATCAGTTACCTTAAAAAGAAATAGATGTTGTCTTTTTCTTTTTTTTTGTTAAAGTGATAAAAAAAAGGAAAATTTTACTTTCGTACGACGTTTTTTCGGTGTTGATAAACGAAAAGGAAATGTACGATCTGCTAGTGTATTACCAAAAGGAATCATTGGCGGTGGTGGTAGTGGTGGAGGTGTATAATGATTAATAAATGAATTATTAAAAAGAATTTGAGAAATATATGGATGATGATGATGATGAACTGTTTGAGAAAAAACTGGTGGTAAAGATGGAGCTATACGTTTTGTTTCAATACCAGCATTATGTACAGGAGAAAAAAATTCTTTTTGAAGATTTTCAAGAAATCTTGCCATGGATATTGGAGATGTTATATTATTTGTTCGTGCTAAATCTTGAATATAATTTAAAAATGGTAAACTATGCGGTGAGAAAGGTAATATTGGTGATTGTGGAATTGAAAATACATTCTAGAAAAATATATTAATGAAACGATTCTGAAAGAAAAAATAATATAAAATACTTGTTTTTCATCTTGACTATGAACTTCTCCGATTTCTTCTTCAGATGATGATTGTTCATCATCATCTGCTCGATTAGTTTCTGTAACAAGTTGTTGTGGTTTTAATTGTTTTCTTGAACGTTTATTAAGATGATTATCATCATCATCATCATCATCTTCATTGTCATCATTAATTTTTGATCGTTTAATTAAAATTTTTTGCTGTTCCTGTTGTTGTCGTTGTTGTTGTTGTTGTTGTTCTTCATTATTATTATTATCAAGATATGAATTCGAACGTTTTTTTTGTTGAATTGAATCATTTGATGTTGCTGCCATTGGTGATATTGATGATGATGGCGATGATGATGGTGTTGATGATGAATCAATTGAACGTTTTTCAATAAGTTCTTGTAACATTTTTGTATGTGTAAATGCCATATCATTTAAATGATTTAAATGTTGATGATAACGTGGATTAAAAACAGATGGAAGAAGATACGATGGAAAGCTTGTTGTTGGTGGATTCATTATATTTCGAAGAGTTTCATTGAATAACCTTATTAATAATAATAAAAAAAAATGAAGAATGAGTTTTTTCTTCTTTTTATTGTGCATCGAACAAATAAAGAAAAGTAAATTTTTAGGGTCTCTTATCTCAGTGAACTTTGCTTAAGTTAGAAGCAGCATCTCTACGTGCCGTTTCTCAGTGTTTTTAACATTCACACATCTCTCCCGAGACACTCACCATTTAGTGGTAAATTTATTCTTGACTCGTCCTGATGATTCGTCTGTTTCTTCTTCTTTTTCTTTTTGTATGTGTGTGTGTGTTGTGTTGTGTATGCGTCGGATCAGATTCTGAAAGAAATAGAAAAAGAAAATCAACCATTCGTAGAACGTCCTATCTCATAGTCTTAAGAGTAAAAGAGAGAGAGAGAGAAAAGAAAAGAAAAGAAAAGAAATATTAACCAATGTCTTTGTCAAGAGTAAAAGAACATTACAACTAATAGGAAACGGGAGAACGATGAACAAAGAAAGAAAATGTTTGACGTTTAAGACGAATGAAAAATCAGTATGCAAACGTGCATCACCTGCTTACCTTTTTTTTTTTTTGTATTTTATTTTAAAGAAGCATCTGCGCATGCCTACGAGATATCGAATTAATAAATATTATCGATGGATAAATGATGATCGAAAAACAATATGCCCTTAAGGCTCTATAATCCATGCTATGTTTTTTTAACATCTTTTTGTTAAGATAAGAATTAATGGTTAATGATTTCGTAAATGAAAAATATATAATTCATGTTTTATTTAAATAGAAATTCTTTAAATTTTGTTTACAATAGATAAAAAAAAAAGAAGAAGAGAAATCACACCATTTGAGATATTTGAGAAACAGAAGCATTATTTGAATGTCATTGTTGTGCTCGATAAAAATATATCCAAAAATAGAAAAATAATCATATTTTTTTGTTTGAACGTCATCACTTAGGTGAGAAGATGTGTCAAGTGAGCCAATGTATAGAACATTTATCTTTTCTTTTTTCTTTTTTTCTTTCTCTTTTTGTCTACTCTGTTTCCTTTGGCTTAACACTAATAACAAAAAGTAGTCTTGAACCAATTACAGAAAAGTATTCACCTTAAGGGTACCTATCTAACTAACATTTTTTTTTTCTTCTAATGAAAAGAATCTGATTGAATCATTAATGAAAGAGATTCAACTGAAAAGAAAAAACTTTTTTTTTCTTTTTTGTCTTTTATAGATCGATGAAATCAAGCGTAAATAATGATCATCGATCAATTGTTGTTTTGTCTTCATGGTAGCAAACAAATGAGGATAATAATAAAAATATAATCCGGATATGATGATTATATTCTTCAGCTGTGTCACACTTTTTAGTTTTATTTTATTTAAAAAAATATTTGAATGTATTCAAGTTGGTGCTATTTTTCCTGTTGTTACTCCGCCCTTGTCGTCGTTTACAGACAATTTGAAATTTTCTATCGCATCAATACTCATTTGATTATATTATGTATATATATATGTGTGTGTGTGCTTGTGTCTCAATGGTGATGAAATCATTCGTCAATAGGGATATATATATATAAAGAGAGAGAGAAAGTTAATTCTCTCTTTTCGTGTGAGCAGATGCCAGAGAGTTATGTTTTATCTCAAAGAAAATAATCTTCGATATTGATCTGTAGGTGTATGTGTCTCTCGTTCTTTACCTTTAGTGCGAGAATGCGCGTTCAAGTGATCAAACACATGTCAACATAATTTTTTTGTTTCTATATATCACCATTTATCTCAAGAATGTTTAAATGATGTATTGTCATGCACTGTTGATTTCTCTTAAACAGATGTATATATTTCTCTTACTCCTTTTTCTTTTTTCTTCTTCATTCAATATATTTTTTATTGGTAAAAATGGATTTTATCATCATTTATTCTAGTCTCGCACAAATGTCATTCTATCATTTCCTTTTTTTTTTGCAAAAGAGAGAAAGCGAGAAGGCTTATTTCTTCCTCTTTCCATAGAGGCAATGAAAGAGTGCCAGCTTTTGATTAAAAGTAAAAGTTGTCTAATGAACTAGACGAGCAAAAAACACACACACACACAATGAATGCATAGACCAAGTGTGAAATACATCCGCATCACTAATGACATCCCACCAGAACATGTTCTTTGTATAGAGAAATACATGATAGATCATTCATATAGTTTGAAAATGCAAATTGAGTCGTTCTTTCAAATCAAGACAAGCGTAGCAAATCCGAAATACATGATAAATGCATTGTAAAAAATAATATAGAAGAAAACAATTGGCAAGGTGATATTCTTCTTCTTCTTCTTCACATCTGTCGGGTTATTAAAAAAGATAGCAATTCATTTAATGATACAAAATAGTAAACGATATTTATTCAGTGAATAAAAGGATATTAAACGTCGAGCACGCGTAAGAGCTTAATAAGAGATGGAGATGTTGTTTGACAATCGTCTCTCACTTGTATGAATATATAAAATCAAAGGATATAAACGTCGTTCAACTCTTGACAACAATAAGTCTACTGTATCACTCATCATTATGAGGTGTTTGATTGAACATAGACAAAAGTCGTTGCCGCCACCGTTCACTTTCGATGCCACTTCACTGACATCACCACATATGTGTGTGACATACTCAATATGCACCGATGTTCGAAAGAAGAGACAACAGAGTAAACTGATTGCATGCATGTTGATGTATAGAAGTTAACACGCACATGCTTAACTTGATTAGATATATACTGTTGTCCACTTTGATGTGTGAAAGATGGGATATTGTGATTTTGTCGCTCGTTAGAAAGATCAACTGATGTACCTTTATATATATATAATGTATACACGTGTGTAAAAGATAGTGAACTTTACATAGAAGATTTATAATCAATCAATTAATCTTCTATCAAACATGTTCTTTGATAAGTGTAAAATGGGGAAAAAAAAGACAAGCTTTCGTTTCTTTATTTTATTTTTAATTGTGTCCATCATAATTAGAGATGGACAAGATTATTCAATCATGCGAGGAAATTGACGTTAATCTCGATCTTACACAGTTGGAAGTTTAGATAGAATAGATTTTTTTTCTCCATTACTTTTGTTATGATGTAGAAGAAAAGATCGTTTCTTTTGTTTTGTTAAGTAACAAATGAGAAAAGAGTATTTAACTATTTCTATGAATACAATAGTTGCACTCCGAGATCTTATAGTAATTCAACAAATGAATAAACAAAGACTTACATCTACAAGTATCCTAAGGCATTCTAACTCCAGTAGAGAGGAAATACTAAAACGGGAAACTTATATAAAGGAATAATTCCTCGTAAATGCATTTTTTTAAAAATGTTTTCTATATATAAATATGTATATATAAAGTGCCGGAAAAAATTATGACATCCTATCACATTATATCGGACCTCGAATCCATATAGAAAGTACCCACTTACGTCAAGGAAATTTTGATTTGTTGCTGTTTGCTTTTTTTTTTTTTTTGAATGAATCCATTACTTGTGAACAACCTAGTTATTACAGATTCAAATGAACAAGATCGGATGAAGCTCATACATATTTCGTAGTTTAAAGTAGTTCAATCATTGTTAAAACACGATTTAATATACATGAATTTCAGTGCTAATGCTTAGTATATCTATTTTAAATTGTTAAAAAATATCTCTAAATGACAAGCTCAAAGCAAACTATAATTGTCTTTTGCTAAACACTGAACAATAGTTATATATTATTCATTGTAATATTCTTCATAATTATTTCGATAGTTGTTTAGCTAAACGATTTGAATAAGCATACAGTCCTTCACTTGTCTAAATTTAAACAAACATTAAATATTAATTGAAAAATATTTTTATTTTCTATGATATTACTTTAACAACTTCTAATTCTTGTCGAATAAGATCTTGTCGATTTGTTTTAGGAAAAACTGTTTTGATTTGTGTTTGATTTTTATATAAATCATCTTGAAATTTTTCTCCTATATCTTTCCCTAATTTTGTTTGAAACTTATAATCTGTAAAAATGTCATTAAAACGTGGATGAACATTATCACTTTCAAATGCTTCAAGTTCTTCATTTTTATTTGAAAAATTACTTGATGGAACATAATCAATTAAACATTTTTTCTAAAAAGAAAAACAGACCAAGAGATTTTTATTCGATATTAAGAAAATTTATACTCTGTCGTACATAATTCGAATTATCTATAATAATTTTATCTGTTTTCATTCGTGTTCGTTGTTGTTCTGCGTATTGTTTAACAGCTACTTCAGTTGTATATGGCAATATACCTTTAGAAATAAGTTCTTGTTCATATTGTTGTTGAATTTGGCGTAGACGTTCCATATTTTCTTGAAAATTTTGCTATGATATTATATGATAGAGAATCAAGGAAATACAATTGCACACAAAAGTCTCTACTCCGATCGGTTTCAGCCACTGTATAGACGGAACTTCCGCTTATTAAGAAACAGCGTAAAATTGCATCGAGAAATTTTTTTATCATAATTCTTTTTCTAATATAAGCAAGATTGGCATCACAATGACAATGACCTACATTCTTAGCGAAGTATATGGACATAAATTTTCAGACTCCTAGCATATACAGTGGCCAAGATCGGCTGAGATCGAGACTTTTGTTCGTTGCTACGCATGTATTATATTGAAATTAATATGATACTTTTCTTAAATTTTTAAATCGATTTTCTAATGTTGTCCAAAAATATCTATCATTTAAATAGATTGTATTTGTTTTCATTAATTTCTGAAGTTTATTATATAAAGCAAACCCATCCGGTAAACCATCAGGTAATTCATAAGTAATAATACCTTCTTGGGCTTTTACTGTCCATTCAATATGTTGCTGACGTTCATCAGATGAAAATTGACCATCAGTTGGTATTATACGATTAACTGTTTCTGATTTTTTACTAATTAATCCAGTATGATTTGTTGATGTTAAATTATTCGATCGTAGATTTGAATATGTTTGATGTAAAATATCATTATCACCGAGTGTTATATTCGATTTATTACCATCACGAATATTTGAATAAGCAGTAGATTTAGATATAGTTGGTGGTACAACTGTAGAATCTGGCACATCAGTACGAAATGGCCAATGCATGGCTAATTCACCTATTAAGATTTGCCAATATTCGTTGAAAGGATAAAAAAATCATAAAAATAGAGACACATACGGTGAAGCTCATTGCGATGCTTTTCAAAATGTTCAGGAAATCGTGTATGTGATTGTTTCGTTGTAGTTGTAGGTAGTAAATTTTCAAATGACTTACATTTATTCTCGGTCATTTTACGATAAGAAGAAGAAGAACAAAGCAAATTAATTACATTTTTCTTTTCCCGCTTTGCTTTGTAACAAATCATTTTTTTTGTTCATGTCAGAATTTCATTAATACATTGAAATATTTGTGATATGTTAAACCAATACATATACAATAAAAAAATACTGTAAAGATAAGTTTTTTTTTTGTTCAGTTAACTATCAATTAAAACCAAATTAGCAACTATTTCTCTAACCGCACAACACGAACTTTATTTATGGTAAGATGTTCAGTAAGACCTTGGAATTCGCATTCGGTTATAAGGGCATTTTTCCTTTGTACATTCATATTCCATCACGTTGCTAACGAAAAGTAAATCGATTTTTTATTAAAAATCCAAGCATGCTGAAAAGAAAAACTTTGAGTAGAGATATAGTGAACAAAAGTTTCTAATGCTGTTTTTCAATGAGTGTCGAATTATCATGATATAAGGTATATTCAAACCAGTCGATGCTCATTAACACTTTTTTTTCATGAATTGTGGTAAACATTATCAAAACTCAGTGTCTTCTTCATTCAAATCTTGTTGTACAAACACGTTGGTCTTGTTTCGATTGTAAGATTTCTTAAAAAGTCAACAATCTGGTGATCATGTCGAAATGATTGCGTGAAAGTTGCGTGACAACGGTTATAATACATTTTGTTGATGCAATGACTTGGTTTTAAAAGATTGTTGGAATTGTTCAAGTCCTTTATCATTAACAAATATTAAATCTATATGTTCATTATGTCCATAGAAAATTTGAATTCTCATGGGATTCGAAATCCTGAGAATCCATAAAAGTGGATCACCATCGTGCAAGAAAAAAATCCAATTCATGTCGATGACAACTTCAGAAAAAGTATACGAGACTAATATTTTTTTAAGTCAAGAAGTAGACATGAAATTCAATTAAACGCATGCTATTGATGATAAAAGAGATCCTTTTTTTGCATTCTCGAGATTTAGAAATAGTTTTTATAAGAGTTGCCATCTTTCAGCAGATTTCTGCTTGTCTTTGAAGATACGCATGAGGCAGACACGATAGAACATTTGCAAGAAAAAAATTTGTTAAGTGTTATTACATTTTAAGTTGTACAATGAAAGAAAACAAAATTCTTTCTAAAATCAAAGATGTAAGAGATGAAATCAGCATTGCATGAGCATTAACTTATGTTGATCGTTTTCTTGAAAATGTTTTACTGATAATGAATTTTCAGCTTTGTACACAGAATATCAAGGAGAAATACTTAAGAAGTGTAAATTAGCATATAAAACTGTTTTCGATCGGATACCATAAGAAGACTATTCAAAAGCATATATGGCACTATTTGGTATTTAGAATAATTCTTTAAGTTCCAGAGATTAAGAAGATTTTCAATACTGTGTTCTGGGCAGACGAAAAATTGAACGAGAAAATAATAGAAGTAAAATAAGAAGAATTGAAGGAAACATTGAGAAAATTCAAACCATTTGTAATAGACATATGATTATACAGTTTCCTGATAAAAATACAGAAACTAATCTTAAAAATTTTTACAATACAGTCAATGAGATTTTATGCAAAATTATTTAACAAGAACTAAATTCCATTGAAGTTCTTATAGATACTGATAGTTTTTTTGAAGCTGAGCAGATATATGAACAAGTTTTTAGAACTTTCAGTTCATCTCATGAATTAGTAGAACAAATACTTGTATTTTTCTCATCAGATATTTCTTAGTATAGAACCGATTTTTGTAATGCTTCACAGCTACTATATTTTACCCAAAATCAGTGTATTGGTAAGTTTTCTGTCATGCAAAACACACAAGCACACTTGGCTTCTCGAAAGTTTGCGTGATTTCCTGTGACATCTCCATCAATTTTTCAGAAATGTCAATACATATCAGTGCAGTTTCTTGGCTGAATGCCATTCGATAGAACACAAAATGTTACTAATGTCACATACTTTCACATTGAGGAGGCGACATTTGTTTCACAAGTAACGAAAAGAAGCTCACAAAAAAAAACAAAAAGTTTCGTGCTTTATACAGCACTTTTTCGTTTTCTAGTGATATGTCAAACGCTCCCTCTAAGACATTTTGATTTTTTAAGTTTGTTATTGGTATGCATCACGAACATGTTGAGCTGAGTTCGCGTTATACAAATGTATTCGGTAATAAAGTTCAAACGCTTTGTCTTACTTCACTAACACTCAAATTTTCAAGTACGATGAATCTAAGCGCTGTATTAAAAAACAAATTCATATAAAAATAACTCAAATCAACATGATCTTAGCACACAAGGGTGGAGTGTGAGCGTTACTCAAAAGCGAGAAGTTCATGATTTATCTTATTAAAAAGATATTTGAAGCTATGGTAGCTAAGACAATTAAAACCTTTTGCATCGCCTATCTACGAGAAAATGTGATTCAGCAATGCATATAATTTCTATAAAACTATTTCGAATTGAATTCACTGACTCAATGATGTTATTATTTCAAAACGACAAACTTAAATGTCTGAAAGAATGGACAAGACATCAGTTTAGCGAGCGCTGTGTGTCATCGAACAATTTTGAACCTTAAACCAGTTTAAGATTTTACTTTTGATATGAATTTCTAAAAAGCAATGTGTAGACAAACGGAATGTCATATTGAAGTTCTGGAAAATATACCTTCATTTTGGTATACTTAACTTGCGAACAATGTTTTAACCGTAGCATTATGATTTTTCAATCTTTAGATTATCGCAGCATAAAAATGGTATGTCAAGGAAATATAATTCAGCTCTGTTCAAAAAGATCATTGAAATAAGTTTAGTTGAATCAGTGTGAACGAATTTCGATGTACGAGTAAAGTAATAGTGAAATTTCTTCGAATCACTCTTCAACATCTAAAATTAACAGCAATCGTTTTCGACGGTAAATGAGCCCGAAGAGTATAGAAATGAATAATTTTCCATTGAGAAATCATTAATTTTTAATATACTTTTATTTAATTTATTGTAGATGATTTTTACGATTTTTTTCCAAACACATAAACGACATAAGTGTTCCTTCACCGTATATACAGAAGTCATACTTGGAACATTCAGTTGGGTGTGGGTGTGGGTGCCACTGTAGAGAAGACGACCACCCATACCGACACCTAACACCCTCTTGTGATATAGTTCGAAAGTGCTTCTTTTCATCGCTAGTTTCTCTCTCATTTCACCTAGTCGAAGTAAGTGTAGAAGGGACAAAGATGGAAAAGCAATTTTTGAAATCTTCTTTCGCTTTTCACCAGGCTTCATAATTATTGCAATGACAAGCTTTCATCATAATCATGAAAACGATCACCTCTTGAAAGTTATATCAATAGAAACACTATATGTACCAAGATCAAGATTCTAAGTCTTGAATCTTCCTCTTAATTACACAATTGATTGACTTACACAAACAGAAAAATGACAGAAAATCAAAAATCACTGCATCGAAACTAACTAATGAATGTTAGAAGCAAAATTTTTCGTGATCTATCAAACTCGTTATACGCTATTTCAATAGTCATTTGATAAGTGATTTTTCGTTATATATGATAATAAAAAAGTCTTACTGATGACGTCATCATGGGGAAAGGGGGGAGGGGGGAGGTCCAGAAAAAATGACAAGTGATGACATTGGGAGATGGGTCCAAAAATCGAGAAAAAATGATGACATAATATGTGAACGACCCCATAGATTTATGTTATTTTTACATTTTAGAAAAAAATATAACAATATATTCAAATTAAAAAATGCAATTACTTGTTCATCTCATCAAGAAATTAACTTAAATTCGGTTAATCATATTCATATATGCTATATAAGAGCACTAAACGATTGTGTAAACTGTTTTCCAAATGTTACTGATCTTACTTTGGACTACAAACTGGATGCACATAATAAATCGATTACAACTAGACTCAATCAAAGTATTCCTTCATGAAGAATTACTAAATTAATCATTGAATTTGGTTGTTTTTCATTTATACAATTGATCGAATTATTATGTTTAACACCTAATACACATTCATTAAAACTTGGTTTCATATCACCCAGGTCACAAAAACCTGATCAGTTTTAGCGGTAAACAGAAAAAAAAGCAGTAGTTCTGTCTGGCTAACCGCGGTTTTTCTACGTCAAGGAGACGGTAACCGGACCAGTAAAACCACAGTTAACCGGCGATTTTTGCCTGGTTTTCATCACATGGGCAATTGATGATAGAGAATATACATCAATTGAACAAAATCAATCTTTTCAATATCTAATAGACATATTATAAAAAATGTAATCCTCAACGAAAAATGTACATTAGAAAAAGTCAAGATACTTGTTGCTTTATGTCTTCGTTTTGAAAATCTTAACATTGGAATTAATAGAAAAAAATTGGCATCGATCATACGATTTATACTATCACAAACGAATACTCATCAATTATTCTTCTTATGTATTTCAGAAGTACCTAAAGTATGTCTAGAAGAGATAAAGAGAATAAACAAATTAGACAAAACTTCTTCCTGATTATTTAATCAAGTTTATTAATGATATTTTGTAGTTATGGTAATAATGATAAAGAAAAACGTTTTTTATCTTATATGTAATTTTTTTTTGTTAATTAAATAAAAAGAATATTTTTGCTGTTGGGATAAATCTTTCAATCAAATCTTGATGTTTTTTTTTACAACTATAGATCATTTCGTTTCATTCATCAAAATTAAATGGAAAAAAAGTAGGGTGTGGTGTCAGTGAGTACTTCTCTAACACACCCACCCACCCACACCCTTCAATAATTAGCTGCATGCATTCTATCTTTCCTATACTACAACAGGATCAATTACCGATGTTACATATACAATGCATTACATGGGAGTTTAGTTTCGACAACAGAACGGAATAATTACTCTGGAATTCTATTTTTCATCTATACGAAACGATAACAATTCGAAAAAGATTAACGTAAACTTAACTGTAAACAAATATGTTTG